TGACTAACTCACATCTATTATTAACAAGAATGCCAAAACAGTTCGAAGTCGGTGTGTATATCCCATGTTATTGATGTTACTGGGATGCTCCAACATGCCAATTATAGCTATTTCTAGTTTTTTTTTTTTTTTTTTTTAAAACGAAGTATTGGAAGATACTTTTATTCAAAAATTTACAAAACACGGACTAAGTGTGGGATGGAATGAGTGGAAAATTTAATTTAAAAGAAAGCTAGTAAATCACAAGCTGTTTAGAAGGCGAATGTTTGATTACATCCTCATGGCCGCGCTATTCGATTTATCTTATAATTCAGAAAGTAAGCGCTACCAGCCCATCCTGCCCGTAGTCGAACAAGTTACTATTAAGAATTTGCATTTTCAATAAAATAAAGAATGAGGCAGCACTTGTGTCCCATTTCGTGGGCGAGCACGAACGATCGGCCAAGATGCAAGCCTTCTACCAAACTGCATGCAAATACTTCATCGCACATCCGCGCCACAGGCGCAACTCCAGCGACCGAGGTGGTCGTATGGTAGATGTCATACCTGTAAAGCATATTATGCGTAGCAGAGGAAGTGATAGGTATGTATTTCAAGAATTTTGAAGCAGTCCGGACTCAGCAAGTCGGAAACATCCCATCATGATGCAAAACTGAGTAGACATATATGCGTGATCGAATTTTTTACACCATACATACAGTTATATCTGTACCACCCGGATCAACTGCCCTTATGCTCGATTCCCTAAAGAAATCATAAAACGCGCACAGATGCAAGTACCAAACATAAAACATGCGTATTCACTCTCGAAGAGATTTGCCACAATGAACGCAGCACTTGTCTAGCAGTGTCGGGCCCTCCGAAAGAATCGAAGCTGCGAAAAAAACACCGAGCTTCTGCTACTCCAGAACTGAGGTCCGAATAAAAAATCCAGGCTGGAACGCACAAGGCGAGCCAGTGCGACGATGTGTTTTTGCAGTATTTCGCGCTGTACAAGGAATCACAGTAGCTAGCGTTTGTGACATACTGGCCCTCAAGGTTCAGGAAGTTAACTATGTGACATGTAAGTTGTAGATGCCGGCTTCAGTGACTTGAAGTGTAAGGGTGCTGGTATGTGGAGAAGACCCTACTGGAAGAGCTGAATTTGAAATCCTTTAAGCGCGTGAGTAAGGAACATTCTCTCAAAATTCCAGCCTTCCAGCTTTTCTCATACGAGCTAACAATTTTCTCATCAAAATTTCGCGTGCCGGTTCGTGAGTCCTGAGTGGTTCGAAGGAGTTGAAATTGAAGCCTTTTGGTTGTAAATGAGTATTAAAAATTCCCCCAAAGTTTCAGCTTTTCTCATTCCCGAGTTAGCAATTTTCCTGGCGAAAATTTCACGCGTTCGCAAGCGGGGCCTAGACGTGCGTGAGGACTGGTACAGCGACCATGGGGTGGCACTTGCCTGGAGAACCACTGGCAAAATTTTGGCGCCGGAGCTTACTTGCTTGCCGAGTTAAAATAATTGGACAGACGAACATACACACACAAATACTTACGTACACACATACACACAGATAGGGCCATCGCAATATGTTTTTTTGCAATTTGCATATAAGCAATCCAGGCTGGAACGCACCAGGCTCTCCGGTGTGATCATGCGTTTTTGCACTAAACTCGCAGATTGCTATTAGCAAGAATGATCCCTACGCTGTAGCCTAA